GGATAAGAGAACAAGGCGAATGTAGGGGTGGGGGCATAGTGGGTGAGGCGAAAGGAGACAAACTGAAGAAGCACGCGGGAAGAGCAGGGGTGAGAGGCAACCAGGAGAGCAGAGAGAGTGGCAGAATAGGCGGCGTAGGGGGGGGGTAGAAGAAGTGACGTGTAGGTAAAGGGAGGTGAGTTGAGTAATGAAGTGAAGGTGAGTGAGTGGGATGTAACGCTGATTTGCGTGAGTGAGGGCGAATAGGTCGACCGTGAGCTGATGCACATGGCAGGTGAGGCAGATTTGCGAGCGCGAGCTGACGGCCGACGGTTAGGTCGGCTGGGGGCGCGCCACCTCGAGCCGGTCACGTAAGTTATCGTGAGTGACGTGACCGGTGACTGAGGGTTGACAGTGATCCGTGCACGTTAGACTGAGTGAGTGACACGCTGAGGTGAGGTATGCTGAGTGACGTGAGTGATGTGGCTAGTGAGGTGAGTGAGCGTCGATGTGACTCGTGCACTGTGACCCGGTGGACCTGAGTGCATCCGGTGAGTGAGTAGACGTGAGGTACGTGACCCCAGTCGACCCCGCTCGCATGTGACGTTGACGTGACGTGAATGTGAGCTTCCTGTGACGTGCAGTGAGTGCTGCCAGTGACCTTGACTGGCGTGACGGCTGGGCGAGCGAGGACGACGACCACTGAAATCTCGCGAGACACACACTCCTGTCGCCAATCGACCGGGTGGCGCCACGCCGCAGTGACATCCTCATCGCGCATTCACCGATTTCGTCACGTATATCGTCCCTCGTCCCAGGACGTGGCGGCGGCCACCCCGTCGCGGGCTGCTCGCGTCAAGGCAAGTCTGACGCGAGCGTCCGTGCGCCCGGCCGCAATAATCCACGTAACACCGGTGTAAGTAGCTGAGTGCTCCGATGATCAGCAACCGCTTGCCCCGGCAGCATCGCGTGCTATGTGCCCTGCTTAACGTTAACCGCGCTCTCATCAGTACCATTACGGGCCACGTAAGATTTCGCATGCACCCTCTAGCCGCGGCAGATAGCACAACCACCACCCCTGTTTACTGCGCCCGCCGCCCGTCCCGGTCACGGGTCGTCGTCGTGCACCCCGCTGTCGCGCCGTCATTGGCCGCTGTCGGTCGCTGTTGCTCCGCTTGTTACGTCCGTCGTCCCGTTGGTCGTCCTACGTCCTCGATCGTCCGTTAGTTGTCGTGACGGGGTATCTATGCGGCCCGAGCGAAACAGTTCCTCGGAAAGGTCATGCAGCGAGAATAGCTATGACGGTTCTTATAATGGTTAGCGTAGCGCGCGTGTATTGTTTGTCGCTTCTCTCTCTGCTCTCTCTCTCTCCTGCTCCCGTCCTCTTTCCTGCTCCTCTCTCTCCTCTCTCACTCCGCTCTTCTCTCTCTCTCTTTCTTCCCTCTCTCTCTCCTCTCTCACTCTCTCTCTCTCTCTCTCGTCTTCTCGTCCTCGTTTTCTCGTCTCTCTTCTCTGTGTCCTGTGCGCTGGGCCGACGTGCGTCGTAGTCTCTCGCGCCGAATCCCGTGCGTGCTGGTCCCCGGTCCTGTGTCGTGCTGTCGGTGTGGTGTGTGTGTGCTGTGTGCCTGACGTTGTTGTGTGTGTGTGGTGTGTGTGCTGCTGTGCTCGCTCGCTTGGCGCTCGCGCCGGATGTGTCCTGTGTCTCTCTCTCTCTCTTCCCTCTCTCTCTCTCTTCTCTCTCTCCTCCTCCGACTCTGTTTGTGTGCACGCCCCCGCGCCCCGCCCGCTCCTGGTGTGCCTCCTGTGTGTGTGTGTGTGTGTGCTGTGTGTCGTGTTGTGTGTTGATGTGTGCAGGGAGCCGACCCGAAGAAGAGAGACGCATCGTATGTATGAGTGTGTGACTGGACAGGCGCCCAAAAAATTCCGGGGCTTTTTATGGCTGTCCAGTCGGTCTTTATTGATAAAGAATATGAACATACACAACTTATTGGTAGGACAAATCTTCTGGATTCATTTATTTAATCTATAATATTTTACTTGTCCTGGATGCGTTCTATCATCGTGTTTGTTCAACATCAACACTAAGCGTTGCTGTGCATTCACCGACGGCAGAATGCAATACAGTTTTGACAATTTATAAAAATTTTGTAAAGCACAACCCCCCCGTGCGCGGGCAATTTCTTTTTTTCCTAGAATTGTCTTCACGGTATTTACAGTTAAAACAGCTGAGCTGTATGTAAACTCATGTGTACAATCACCTGCATTAAAAGCGTGCCGTGAGGTACGTCAAAATTTATCTCTGCCTGCAAGAACTCACTACTCTCGAGAGGAAAAAACCCTCTCTGAATACCCGGAAAAACATTTCAATGGGCTTCCAATCTCAATAGGGCAGGAATTACCAGGTGACAATCAGCCCTACCGGCCTATACAGGGGACACACGGGAAAAAGCACGTATAACGCTAATTGTTATTCTCATTTATTCGGAATCAGCGAGTAAAGCCAATTAGCGCGGACCCAAAGTTTCCGGAGATTTCCGCCCTTAACCTTAGGTTTTCGTATTACACATTGGCCGCTAGATCTGCCCACTAACTGGAAACTGATGGGGCCATTACATCGCTGAGTGCGGACATTGTACGGCTATAAACTTTCAGGTAAGAAACTTAGATATGACGACACATGAGCCTTTTTAAAAAAAACAAAGAAAAACACCAGATTTATGAGTATATCGGGCGCCAACACTCGGTAGACCTACTCGAACCGGTCGTCCAAGGTCACGTGCAGCTTCTCATGCAGAACCAAATCGTATTGTGCCGCGCCCCGGTTTATCTGTACACTAGGGGCTTTACCACGGAATTTGGAGTATTTGAACAAAATGCGACGATATTCGCAAAGGGCCAGAGCGTGGTGACAGTAGACCATTGCAGTATTTCAAAGCACTTACCCGTCGTAAATATACTTGGGTTGACGAGTTGATACACGTGTGAATATCCAGCAGAGTAGTAAAATTCGATGTACGAAACGACATTATTGAATTCACATACAGACCACGAGTATATAAGTGCATAATCAAACAGTGCAATATATGATCTACGCGTCACCAGACGTGTATCATCGGACAGTACCTCGAAAGATGTCATTATAATTCATACAAGACAGAAGGCAACAAGTGTGATAGCTTTACTGCTCAGAATAACATTGGGATTTCGTGATTGTGCGGGTATGTCCTCCCAGTCCTTCGAAATACGTAATCGCCCCTGCTGTCTTTGCACGCCGATACACACATGCTCACACGATACACACACACACCACGAGCAGCACACATTACACAACACGACATACACACACACACAACCACAACACACATCACGACCGGGCATCACAACGCCCCAGCATACGCTCACACACACACACACACTCCACACAACACACGAGCACACAACAGCACCGTACGCACTCACCCACCCTCTCCACTCATGGATGCGGGCCGCACGTCGACGCGGCACGACGCGCTGCCGCACACACACACCAGCACAAACACAGCACACAACACACGTACACACACACACACATGGCTGCGCGCGCTTCGCCGTCGCGCACGTCACTTCCACAATAATCCTTCACACACACCAGCGCACGCACGCACGAGGCATTGACTATGTATGTCTATGTATTCGGGACGAACGCACCACCCAAGCTACACACGCACACACCACACAACACACACACACACACCACAGCACACACACACACCATCACACAAAGCACAAACACAAGAATAAACAAGTACCACTCACACAGCCGTGAGCACCACACTCGACACATTCCATAAGCACACTCACGCGGTGACGCATTCACACAGAGCAAGAGTGTTAGCACCCCCCCCCCCCCACCAACACACAACACGACTACACGCCGGCGCGCGCGAGCATTAGCCACACGCATAAGCATACGCACAGGAACACGCATAGACACGGGCACATGCACAAGTTACACTCGCACGCACGGGCACGCCACTAGTACTCACACACATAGCACGCAGGTGCATATGCCTTCACAATCCCTCACTCTCGTTCTCGCCTCTCTGTACGTTTCTCTCTCTCTCTCTCCTTCATAAGATACCACCACCACCACCACCACCACCACCATCACCACCACCACCACCACCACCACTACCACCACATCTTCCTCCTCCCCCTCCTCCTTCTCCTCCTCCTCTTTTTCCTTCTCCTCTTCCTCCTCCTCCTCCTCCTCCTCCTCCTCCCGCTCCTCTAACAGCAGACTCACCCGTTGACGTCGCAGGGCACTGTGGCGGGTTTCTCCAGCTTCACTACAGGCCTGCTGCTGCCGCTACTGCTGCTGTTGGCGGCGTTCATCGTCGCTGCCCGCGCGACTATGACTGACTATACTGCAGCGAAATCAGGCAGCTTTATTACCAACTCAGTAATTAGTTTGCCCGGGGCGAAAATGATTGTGCGGCGAGCGGATTACTAGCAGCGCGCCGTACGCGCCGCAGCCCGCCAGCGATGCGCCGCCAAGCACGGCGCAGCGCGCCATCTCCGCCTGCCGACCTCGAGTGGTCGCGCGCAGAAAAACCATGCAAAACTGCCCCGGGGCCGGAGCTGTGAAAGGCTGCAGCCAGGGGGCCCGAGGAGAGAACCGGAGACTGCATCGTCGCGGGTGCTAGCGCACTCTAGCAGCGCGGGGGGTGGCGCCCGCTGCTCTCGGATGGGGGGGTGGGCGGTGGCGCGGGGGGAAGAGGAACGGCGGGCGCTCGCGGAGCGCTGGGCGGTGCGACACGCGCGAGGTTGGCTGGCTAAAGTGCACGTCCGATAGCGGACGTCTTCATGAAATCTCCCTCGTCGCGGGGAGACAGGCGGGCGACCGCTGCGGGGTGAGGGAAGTGGTCTCGAAACCAGCGATCACGGCCGCACGCGTCGCAGTGAGCTGGCGAAGGCGCGCGCAATGTTTAAATTATTACCTTCGAAAATACAGAATATCAGGTTTTTATCGGTTTTGATCTGTTTTCGCATCCGCGTGAGTAAACAGACTCACGTGAGAAGCCGCACGTAGGCGTGCCACATACGCTGCGCGACGAGACTCCCTGAGGAGCAGCAACAGTAGCCGTAGCAGGAGCACTAGCAGTAGCAGTAACAGCAGCAAAAGCAGCTGCGGCAGCAGCAATATCAGTAGCAGTAGCGGCAGCAGCAATAGCGGTAGCAGTAGCGGCAGCAGTAGTAGCAGTAGTAGTATAGTAGTAGTAGCAGCAGCAGCAGCAATAGTATAGTAGCAGCAATAGCAGCAGTAATAGTATTATTATTATTAATGTTATTATTAGTATTTTCATTATTATTATTATTGTTAGTAGTAGTAGTAGTAGTAGTAGTAGTAGTAGTAGTAGTAGTAGTAGTAGTAGTAGTACGTAGTAGTAGTAGTAGTAGTAGTAGTAGTAGTACGTAGTAGTAGTAGCAGTAGTAGTAGTAGTAGTAGTAGTAGTAGTAGTAGTAGTAGAAG